ATGTATAGTTTTTATGTCTGTAATTATCAGACATTTTTCTATCATGATTGGGTAACTGGGCTGTTTAAAAAAGAAACACCTCCAGAATAGCTAAATTTTTAAAGTTAATACCTACATCTGCCAAAACAGATTAGTAGTGAATTTCCAGAACAGAACAAATTGTCTTGATCTCCTTACCTAACACTTTGTTTTATGTCAAATCTTACTGCTTTTAGGGAACAAGACTTTTTGATGTAAGTTTATATTTTGACTTAGAAATTTGAGGCTGCAAGTATAGGGCAAATTTATTCCTATTTTGGGGGTTGAATATTGTTGCATTATAGTTTTATGGTATTTATACTATAATAATACCATATATTCATAATAAACTTGATCCAGTATTAACTCATTATAACCTTGTTGAACTTGCTGACCAAATGAGCTTGAATGTTGAGAAGTGAAGCTCTCTTGGTTATATAAATAAGTGCTAACTTACAAGTAACATTTACACTTCAGGTCTCAGTTTGTTCTCCTCCTTCATCAACATTATTTTTTTTTTTGTATTTTGAATACATTAGTATTAATTCATTATGGTAACAACAAAAACATTGGCCAAGTAGAACTAAAACCTTAATTAACCAAAATATTTATTGGATATTTTTTTTTAATTTAGAGTATTCCTGAAAAGTTTTTTGGATTCAGTCGTGATGAAAATAATTTTAAAATGCATTATCTCCTTCAATGTAATTAATATTCCATTCTTCTTATAGTTTAATATTTCTTTATTCACTCAGGATTATACCCTGTTTAAGAGTCTGCTTGTCTTACCTTTTTGTCAGGGTGAGAGACAATGTTGGATGGGCAGTGGAGTGATCACAGAACAAATGCTAGGAGTTGTCTTGAGGCATACACTATGGTGGCTATGCTTTAGAGCCACACTGTTGAGGTTAAAATCTAACTCTGCCACTTCCTAGCTGTGTGATCTTGGGAAAAATACTTCACCACTATTTTCTCATCTATGAAATGGGTTGTCTAGAGCATTTAATGAGTGAATATGTATGAAATGTTTAGAAGTGTGTCCAGCATATAGAAAGTATTCAATATATATCTATCTCAGAATAGTTAAACTGCCAATAAGTATATCTGATTTATTAAGAACTCCAGATAGTTTTACCTTAAAATATATTTTAATAAAATTAACTATAATAATGATACTTGCTTTTCAGATACAAATACATTTGCATTTTATCTTTTCTAGGATATTAGTACAAGTGGTTTTTAATTGACCATATGTATAGTTTTTATGTCTGTAATTATTAGACATTTTTCTATCACGATTAGGTAACTGGGCTATTTAAAAAAGAAACACCTCCAGAATAGCTAAATTTTTAAAGTTAATACCTACATCTGCCAAAACAGATTAGTAGTGAATATTTTTTTATCCAAAATGTTGGGACCAGGAGTGTTTTGGATTTCAGACTTCTTTGCATTTTGGAATATTTTCATATTACGATAGACCTAAGATTAAACATGAAATTCATTTATGTTTCATATGTACTTAATAAACATAGCCTGAAGATAATTTTATGAAATATTTTCAGTGTGCCTGTATGTTGCCCATGACCTATCACATGAGGTCAAATGTGGAATTTCCTACTTGTGGTGCCATGTCAGCACTCAAATATTTTAGATTTTGGAGCATTTTAGATTTCAGACTTTTGGATTAGGAATGCCCAATTTGTAATGTTTTGGTACAGGGACACTTGGAGAGCATTTTTATATTTAGTAGTCCCATACAAAGGAAGCATGGAATTATGCTTTTGTTTTATATATATATAGATATTGGGTCAATTGAGGGACTAAGATGGCTTATCCATCTGTGGTCTGTCTTCTGTGCTAAGACTTCAAGTGGAGAGTACTGGTGTTTTCCTCAAATTTTTATTGGTTGTGGCTGAGTACATACTGACCCGTGACACAGTCCCCTGTCTGAGCATGCAGAACTTAAAATCTGAGTGCTCTGGGCGTCCCACACTGCCGCTCCCCAGGGCAAAGGCTTTGAAGGATTACTTGTGATTTGTTAAAATGAGTAGATCTTGTAGACTCTTAACAATTCTCTTCTTCTCTTAGTTCATTTCCATTAAGATCTTTATTGTAGGTTAGATGAAAAAGAAGTTAATTTATAAATACTGAAGTCAGAATAATTTTCTAAACATTTTATTGATCTTTTATTTCTTTTAACTTTCATTATAGCACATACAAAAAATCATGGAGTATAATTTGTTTTGAGAACTTTGGTATTACATTTTCATCCCTCGCTGCCCAGTATATATATAATTGTTGAATGAACTGGCATCTCAGAAGGCCCATTCTTTGGCCAAATTGTCTTCATTTGTTTGCAGAGGCCTGCTGTGCCATTTCAGCCATGCGAGAGAGCAAATTGGATGTGTGAAAAAGGAAGCAGTAGAGACAGTGCTGAACTGTTTTTGAGGTTGGATTAAACACCACCTAGAGTCTGAGCTTTGCTAAGTAAAGCAAAGGCTTTGGGCAGAAGACTAATGAATATATAATTTATATGAGTAACAGAAACCCTTAAGGTATTCTAGATGTTTTATGCTTTCCAGATCAGTGAGTGCCATGATTCATAAAGTAAATAAACATAAGCGCACACACCCTTATTCACTCCCTATACCCTGATGAACATATAAGTGCCCTAGAGGAAAGTTCGTCTTGATAAAGGTCACTTGTCTAGTGTCTATTTGCTGTATCTTTATTCATTGGGAATTGATGGAGCTTTAGAGGCGCTTATAAATATAAGTTTTGTTCTAAATTTATAAGCAATTTGAGTTTTCTAATTCTATTAGTGATAGCATATACAAATGTTGTAATTGGAACAAAAGCAAAAGTTACGTATGCCCAAGGAAGCCCTGCGTTCACGTGTTAAATTCTTGTAGCCTGGGAGATTCACCTGGCTCTGCCTCTGGTTACTTGTCAGAAATGAGAAGAAACTAGGGAAAAGCAGCTAGAAAAATCACAGATCATTTTAAAGCTGAAATGCTAATATGGTAACTGGTATCCTATAAGTTAAAAGTATGTCTGCTTCAAGGTGTTTGATAAACTTTACTGAATTTTCTCAGGGGCCTAGCTTTTTTATTCCCTCTGGGGACTCAGATATATTTATATTATAGTGCCCTTGTTCCTGATTGCCTCACTCCTGTTCTGAAGCCTTAGCATAAACCATGTCTGATATCAAGAAAGTCAATTTACCCAAACTTTTCCCTTCTTCCTAGCAGCTGTTGACATTTTCTTTCTTAACACCTGTAGCCTGGGGAACCACCCCTCCTTCCCTTTCCACCCCGTCCTAACCCTTTCTGGTGCACAATGCTCATTTTATACTATGTACATTACTATTTGCTGTTGACATCTCTGTCTTTTCATTTCATTTCTATTATGACAATGTGGTCTTTTACTCTTTGAGATTAGGGACTGTGACCTCTTTGGCTCACTGTGTTAATCAGTATTTAATAAATGTCTATTGATAGGATATAAAAATCACTGGAACTTTGAAGCTGAACAAAGGAAGTTTGAATCCATTTATGCATTTGGAAAATGGATAGATTCTTTTTTGCTGACACCTATAATGTCAGATCAGTCGGGGCAGGCAATGGCCAAAGGAGGCAGATTTAAAAGAGCCGCTGAACAGGCTTTATTGAGATATCACTCCTGGGCGGAACTCGATCAGACCCACAGAGGGGACAGGAGAAGGGTCTGAGGAGAAACCGTGTGGAAGCTCCACCAGACTGGACTTTTATGGGGCTTACAGCAGGAAAGGAAGGGCTTGGGACAGGAAAAGGTGTTTCTAGGGTCCCTTGCCCCCTTGGAGTTGGTCAGGGGAGTTGGCTGAACTCCAGGATTGGCCAGGGGGTCCTGCTGATTGACAGGCGTTAGTCAGGAGATCTGGCTGATTGACAGGTGTTTCCGCTGGCATCTGATTGATGTTCTTTTCCTACTCAGGCTGCTTTGTTCTAAGTTGCCACTAAGTCGCCACCACCGACCTAACTTATATATAACATCACCAAAATGGCCCAGTTTCAAATTGATAAGACCCATTAATTAAATGCTGCAGATCAATTTAGTAAATTATTTCTGGGTGAGAGAAAGAAGGTATTTGGGAGAAAATCAAGTAATCTTTGTTGTTCTAAGGCATTTGATTAGAAGATTGTGCAAAAAAGTTTGTTATTGTTTATATTGATTTATGTCAGTATTTTTTTGCTGCTCAAAATAACTATTTGGAAAACTTTCTTCATCTCTCTTTATCTTTACTGGTTTATTTATATCTATTATCCATGCTTTCTAATGACATATTCCACCCATGTTGTTTTTACATGTTGGTATCTAATATGATATGAGAGTAACTTGTTTGTTTACATGAACTTTGCCTGCTGTTTGTTAAGTTATGACTTCGAGGCTCATCTGCATGTGTGCCTTTGGGTCTTAAGATCAGATTTCAAAGCTGGGAGTACTTTGTATCTCTAGAAAGGATTTGTAAGATATTTATTAAATCCAGACCTTCTTTAAGGAATTTATTTAAATGGCTGCTAATTATATACATTGATATATATAATAAAAAAGCATATATCTTCTCAAGGTTTATTCTAATCATCTTCAATAAGTTATATATATATTATTTAATATTTTTTGAATCAGTATTTTGCACAGAAGTCTAAGAACTAAATTCAGGCAACCTTTTCATTTTCAGTTAATATGTAATTTTAATCACTATTAATAAATTAGAAAGCCTTTTTTAAAAAGTTTTCTTGCAATCACTTTACGTAGCTGAATATCTCATTCTTACTTAGCATTTAAATGCTTTATTTCCCATTTCTATTTTTTCTCAGTTTGTTTCATTTATCTTTTATATAATAGACCCAAACTGCCCTGTGTTGAAGGAGGAAGCTGCCTGATTTGCAGGCAGTTTTACATGTGATGAAATTTAACCTCAGCTTATGTCTCTCCCCACACAGTCCCTTCAGTCTGAATATGTTCATTACTAAGGCCTTGCCACTCGGTGGAAGCTGTTCCTTCTTAGACATCTGGACAAGCCATTCGGAGGAGGGCACCAGCTTGCTGGAAGGATTTCTCTGCCTTCTTACCTTAAATTAGAGAGAGCACTAAGATAACACCTTCAAGAGACTTGAAACCAGACAGCTGGTTAATGACTACTGTAAATGCACTGAAACTATGTTTATGGAGATTTCAACACTTTTTATGACAGTTTTAATGTTGAATTTGGTATTTTGAAAGTTATTTTTAATGTATTTCAGTAATACGTTTGTTATTACATTTACATGTACAGTGTTACATTATGTATGTATTGTGAACTTCAAAAGACTATTTTGATAAATTTATAAATATATGAAATTTATGTAAAAACTAGACTATATTTTGATTTAGATTTTCCTGTTGTTTGCTACCAAAAATTTGTATTTTAAACTTATTTAGTTTTAGTATGGCCTTTGTCTTTAATAGTTCCTCTTTATTAAGAAAATGAAAGGGAGAAAGTTTTTAGGAAGTGGTTTTTATGTTCCCACTGTGAATATGACAGATCAGTGTGTTCTTTGGGGATGTCAGTCTAATTTAAAGAATTCCTCCAAGTTTACTTCTACCAAGAGTAGACTTGTTTGATATAGTTTATTTAGGACAAAACCCTTCTCCGTCATTTTTGTTTCTTGAACCATTGAAATTAGCTTTGTATCCTTGGAAACTTAAACAAAACAAAAAAAAACTTACATCCAAGTGAAGATTTTAGAGTCTCCTGGTTGTTTCTCCTGAAAGCCTGCTTTTTCTCTATGAAATGACTGAACATTCCAATTGCTTTTCTTTTTTTTCTCCTCTCAAAAGAGTGCTTTAAAAAAATGCCTTAAACCATTTATTTTTGCCTCTGTTTTCTCTTTTGTACATATGCAGAAGAAGGATACATATTTTAAAATCCACATCTAAGGTCTCTGATCACTCTGCCTCTTATCATACAATGATTTTAACAACCGAAAAGCACTTCAAAAGAGTTATTAACTCTATTAGAATATTCTGCTTTTGGTACGAGGTGGTTGTTGCCTGACACCAGTTTAAATTAATGAGGGAAAACCTGAAAAAGATGCTGCTAAGTAGTTCTTTATATCCGGGAGTTATTTTTCAAACGAACAGAGTACAACTCCCTGACACACACGCAGGTGTATCTGGAACTAAGATGAAAATGAAAGGACCCTCTTATGGGTACTCATAGCCCTTTCATGTGAGTCTAATCTTTTATTTAGGTCTCCAGAATCCTGTTGGCTTCATTTCCAGGGAGCTGGAGGGCCTTACATCTGGGTCTCTTCTGGCTGCTTAAGAATGGACTCATGCCCACCCTGCAAGTGCTGGGTTAGGGGATTCATGTGTAGGGCTTGACTCTGAGCAGTTGAGTTATTTATAATGTATTTATTAGGAAGGGGTACCTTGAGACTATTATTATGTGCTTCAGCAAGACATCTTGTTCATGTTTTATGCTTTTAAATAGACGTTTGAATGAATGTTTGACTCAGGTTTGTTAAAATAACCTTCAATAACTGCAGTACCAAAAAGTTGCGCTCAATTGATGAAAAAAAACAACAAAAAAAAATGAATTGTATGTTTTAGGAGTCAAAACTTAAAACAAGTGGAATTCAATGGTATATATTTTTTCTAAAGCTGAAAAAGTATTTTATTAAGAGTTATTGTAAAAAAGATTGGTTACTTATATAGGAAGATGATTGTATTTTTTCAAATGATCATTGAAAAGTAATTCAGATGATGTTTGTGATGTGTAGGGGAAAGGGAACCATATTGATGTTTTTAGTTCTGTGAACACTAATTTGTGTGCAGCTATTAAAATGATTGTAAAGTTGACTACTGTAAAATTTCCATAATTATGTGTGTACATAAATTATATGTATTTACATGTGTATGTCTTAAAATTATTTGTACACATGTGCTTACATAGATACACCAAGAAGGGGATGTATATAATATAGAAAGTATATAGCAAAGTAATTCTACTCCAGTAATAAAAATTGTTTGACATGTATTTTGTTATGAATAGTTTATCTTCCAAAATATATTTTGTTCTATTTTAAAGTATAGACGAATACACTGCTAATAAATAATAAAAGTCTTATGAAATTTGCTTCTTGACTTTTACAACTTGGATTTGGAGTTATCAATATGCCAAAGTTCATCATTTTATTTTTGACTCAGTGTGGTTGGTTCCTTTTGGGTTTCTCAAGATCTTCCTTCTGGATTCTTAGTTTATCTCTTATTGACCCTCTAGGTTGTGGCCATTGCTGGAAATACATGAGTTCAGAGAAACCTTGTGTTTTGAATTTTACAGAAGCCAGATAATGCTAGCTTCTCCCTCCATTCCTCCTACCCCCCAGTTTCCTTTCTGTTAGTAAAATACTGATCACGACCAGTGTTTGGGTCCTGCTAGGTCATTTATGACTATCAGTGACTGTTGGGTGACATAATACTAGTCATCAATTCCTTTTCAGAAAGGCTGACCCTTTTTCTTAATGGAAAAATTCTAGAAATACATTAGATGGAACAAACTTCACATCTGGTGAATGTATGCCGTGAAGTTTCAGCTTGGGAGGAAGAGGCCTCACTATTTATTGGAGATATTTTATGTATTAAACTGGATCTTTTTGGGTTGGGATATTTCTGAGTTTTTTTTTTATTCTTCTTTTCCTTTTCAGAATGCAAAGGAAAGATTGAGGGTGGGAAGGTCGTTTCATTTATGGACTTAGGAATCTGCAAGTAGCTATCCTCCTAACACTGCATGAGACCATATCTTAGATAAGAGATTTGTGAATCCACAAACCTGTCAAGAAGGGCAGAAAAATCTCTTTTCCTATAAATTGAATTATTGTGAAAAAGAAAATGAAAAAAAAAAAGAACAATTAATTTTAACAAATTTCTTACTTCTTACCTATTAGTTTACATGGGTTTTATTATTCTTATATGCAAGATGGTTGATAAACCTCCAAACACATCTGGAAAGATTACTCAATATATAATGCATATTCATCTGTGATTCCCATATAGCAGGAACATGAATTTGTTAACTATTAGGTACACAAATGTATTTTCAAAATTGTTTTCATTTGCATGCTTTCTTAGGTGATGTGCTAAACCATTATGTTAAGAGTCTCTGTAAACAACTGTTGCTGTATAAACAGAACAGTACTCTATGTAAGAGGTCTGTGTTCTTTCTCAGAGTACTGTCATCCAGCAGAGTTAATGATGCCTGCAAAGTCTTTCACTGCTCTTTGAAAGAATTTGGTCACTGTGTGTCTTCTAAGAAGATCAATCAGAGATAATTCCAGTTATAGCAGGCTATAACTTAAAGCAGAAGATAAAAGTATTTACACATTGGTTGCATAGGGGTGGCAACTATGGCATATGAAAGAAAGTAAAAAAAATAATCAAGTTATTTTGAGCTGAATTGAAATGTTAATATATTCCTACCCAGTTCCTCCTCTATGGATTGAATTATGATAATCATATCAAGAAGGAGAACAATAGCTTTTCTAGAGAATTTGAAACTCTTTTTGGTATGTGCCAAGTATAAGCTTATGTTAAAAATGTCTTAAGGCAAAATATATTTGGGGGACCAGGTTTAAATGGACAAACAAAAATTAGCTGGGCTTTTAACTTCTTATGTGTCATTTTAGACCTGCATACCATCAAAATTGAAGTGAATCACATTACCACTTGATATTTCTCCTTTGGTTTGAATCAAGTTTACTGTAAAACACTTTTGAGAAATTGGACTCCATATGAGAAAGGTACATGGTAGTAACTGTAGACATGACTGCAGCTTCAATGTTGACATTCAAACATCAGATTTGGGGGGCAATGCTCTATCAGATGTATTTTGCTTATTATGACTCTCTTCCAAAAGTATCTGAAGTGGCTTCAAAAAAAATAGCAAATGTGGTTCAGGAGGCTGAGGCAGGAGGATCGAAAGTTCAAAGCCAGCCTCAGGAATTTAGTGAGGTCCTAAGCAACTTAGTGAGACCCTGTCTCAGAAAAAAAGGCTGGGGGGAGACGTCTGGGGGCATTGCTTAGTGGTTAAGTGCCTCTGGATTCAATCCCCTGTACCCTATATAAACAGCAGGTGTACCACAGGGGAGAGAATCGAGACTTTGGACACTGAATTTTGAGGCAACAGATGGTGAGACTTAATGCTGAGATAAGTAGGCCTCTCAAATGTCACAGGATATCTGTTCTTGGGTTAGGCAACTCCAGGACTTCTTATTGGGATAAATTGCACCCAAAAATTTAAGAAGAGATTATCTCCATGTGAAATTATCAGTCTCTACATTCAGATCCTGCCAAATCATTATGTCATGTACATGGAATAGAAATTTCAAAAAACAAATTTGAAAGTGGAGATCAAAACAGAATAATGACATTCCATTATCTATCATCTATCTGTCTATCATCTATCACATATCTGGCCTTTACCAGAGATAAACTAACTTTACTATAGTTTATGTAAATATCTCTGTGTATTGGGGAGTTTAATAAAACTTAGAAGAAACAGAGGGCCCAAAGACTTTGAGATTAAAGTAGCTGGTTCACCTTATATTTGTTAAAAACAAACAACTTTGGAAGAGAGGGAACCATATTCTAAAATCTAGGTTTCTTTCAAGCAGAGACACATTTCACACCATTATACACACTTCAGAGAGATACCATCCACAGTGGAATGTTACAAGCAACTGTCAATGTTAGAAAGATGTAACCAGTTAACCATTCAAGCACTTGGCATTGTCACATGCTATCTGCTGTGTGACCAGCAGGGATTGGATGGGCCCAGGATTTCCTGATGTGAGGAAATGAATAGTACTCACTTCCTCTTTCTCCCTTGACTACTCTTCATACCTATCTGTTTCACAAGTGTGACTGGCCAATGCTAGACTTTTCCTGCTACTTTTGGTGTGGTGAGTAGCTTGCTTTACCATTTAGACAACATACCTGCAATGATTGGGTTAGTCCTCTTTCCATCACCGTGACAAATAGATAGAGTTGTGCTCTATGTGGTTCAGAGTTCTAGTTTCTGGTTTCGGAGTTCTGGGTTTTTAATGGATAAATGTGGTTTCTGAGGTTTTAGCTCATGGTCTGTTGGCTCCATGGAAGAAGGTTTATGTCTGGGAGCACATGGTGGGGGAACGCTGCTCACCTCATGGTGGCTGGGAAGCAGAAAGCTCACTTTTATAAAAGTTCCTCCCCCAAACCCATTAAAGCTATAAATCTGTTAATGGATTAATTCATTCATGAGATTGGAGCCCTCATGATCCAATCACCCCCTAAAACCCCACTTCTGAACACTGCTGCTTTGGGGATCAACACATGAACTTTTGGGAGACATTCCAGATCCAAATCATAACACTGACCAAGGAATAAATGGCAGGGAGCCACATCAAATGGCAATTATGCATGAAGAGCTGTGATGTGTTAGTAGAAACACTGATGGCAGAATCACTAATCATGTCACATCATGTGAATCTCATGTCATATCACCACAGAGCCCCACCTGGGAGTTCTCTTCCTCTGCTATTGCACAAGAGGCTCAATGAGGGACACTGCCTTGTCATGACAAGAGGTGGGATCGCTGAATGCAACCTTGAAAATCAACGAAACTGACAAACGGAAGACTTTCAAATAGCTTGATCTATTTAAAAGTCAAATCTGTTGGGAAAATTATCCTTAATTAAAGATTACTGTTTAAGTGACAGGTAGTTAAATTGTTAATTTTAAGGTAAACCAAAAGAGCAAAAGTTCAACCATATGGTCTGGAGAAGAGATAAAAGTCAATTATTAAGTCAGGATCTCGGAGAGATAGGAAAGCCCTGTGTATTGGGGGTCCCCAAGACCACTCCCAGTTTTTGTGATTCTCTAGAAATATAGGACTCAGCATAAAGCTGCACACACTGCTAAAATTTATTACAGAGAAAGAATACAAATCAAAAATCAATAAAAGGAAGAGATACAGGGGCTGAGGTGGGAAGGAAACCAGGTGTGGTCTCCTGTCTTTCCAGTGGAGTCACACAACACACTGATTTCCCCAGCAATGATGTGACGATGCGTGAAGTGTTGTCCCCCAGGAAACGCATTAGAGACTAAGCACCGAAGTTTTTTACTGGGAGCGGGCCATGGGAGACCTTCTACCTAGCGCAAACCCAAATCCCAAATGCCAGGGGAAAGCAGGTGTTCAGCATAGACCATATTGCACAGTCCAGGCACATTGAGCCACCCGTGTCATTTAGAGGATGTTTTATCAGCATGGGGAACTATTTACCAGTCAGGTTTTCAGGCACAAGCCAAGGTCAACCTTGCAAGCAGGTGGTTCTAAGGCATCAGTGGTGAGCTGCTATTTAAACACATGAACCACGTGAAGTTAGTTGATCCAAAACTTGTTTTCAGAAGCCTTCTTGAGGTGAAGAAGAGTTGTGCTCTATGTGGTTCAGAGTTCTGGTTTCTGGTTTCAGAGTTCTGGGTTTTTAATGGATAAATGTGGAAGTGGTATAGCTTCCCCTTCTAAATGCTTTTTTGGCCATAATGAATGCTATCTGTCTAATGTCTGTAACCTCCCAATCATTTTCAGGCCAAACTAGAGTAGGAAAAACTCACCCAATCTTTGCTTTAAAAAAAAATGAAATATATGTGGAGTACAGGTGTGTGAATAGAGCACTTGCTTAGCATGTGTGAGGCTCTGATTTTGATCCCCAGCACCCCAAACAACAACAACAACAAAAAAGAAAACAGTTCTGAAACTAATTTTAGTACTAATACATCTAAAATATCCTATGGTGGGCTGGGGATGTGGCTCAAGCGGTAGCGCTCTCGCCTGGCATGCATGCGGCCTGGGTTCGATCCTCAGCATCACATACAAACAAAGATATTGTGTCCGCCAAAAATTAAAAAATAAATATTAAAAAAATTCTCTCTCTCTCTTAAAAAATATCCTATGGTATAATGAGTTTTACACACACACACACATGAACAGAATATCAAATGGCATTTTTTCCCTTTTCCTTTAAAAAATGTTCATAATAGCAAGGTGCAGTTGAGGCAAGGAAGATGGCAAGTTTGAGGCCAGCAAGGGCAACTTAGTGAGAC